TTTATAATAATAATAATATAAATTAATAAAATTTAAAATAACGAGAGAAAATAAAATCAATAAAATACTAATCATCAGAGATTTCGTCTCTTTGCCTCTCTATATAAAAAATATTAACTGTCTTTTGTATGTGACATGAACGCAGCGATAAAAAAGTGTTTGATAAGTCAAATGTTAAACATTAATAAACATTCAATTAAAATAACCAATATTTTACGTGCATTTATATAAAATTACTTAAAGTAAATATTTCTGATTTTAATAAACCGCGCATCCACATACTGAGTACTTTCCAACATTCATTCACACAAATTTTCAACGCATTTTATGTACGAATTTGTATCCATATCAAAGAAATTCGTCAAAATAACACGTTGCGAACAATACATAACAATAATATCAATATTCGTAGTGCTTGTAGATGCGTGGTATAATATGCGCTTGTAGATGCGTGGAATGTGCGCTGAATCCTGGGAGAAAAGATCATCATCGTCGCGAGTCGACACATATACAGTCTATTATTCCCATTAAAACATGATTGATTGTAATTACGATAATTTTCCTCTTCAGTATCTTGACGTATCCGCGACGTGGTGATCCCTCGATGGCCGGTGCTTGTAATAGCGATCATAATAATTCTCCTTCACCGGATATCTCGATGGATCAGCGTATCTACCGTCGACTAGATCGCGGCCGTCTGACGTGACGGCATAGCGGCTGTCGACCTCGCGGTTATCAATCGCGTACCTGCCATCCACTGGTTCCCTACCGTCGACGTACCTTCTGTCCATTTCACGACTGTCTACGTATCGACAATCTGCCTCCCGGCTAGGATCGACCGGCAGATGCCGGCTGTCTAGGTGTCTCCCATCTGAATAACGCACTTCGTACCTGCAGTCAACTGCAGCGACGGCATAACGGCCGTCAGCCTGATCATAATAGCATCTTTGGTCGTACCCGTAATTGCTGTACCTGCCCTTGTCATACTGCTCCGGACAATTGTCGGCTGGGTAGACGGCACGTCCCTCGCTGTAGTATCGCGATCCATATTCCGCATCGGAAGGATACGGGGGATTAGTGGGCGTCGCGGCGACGTTTGCATGCGGTGGCGGCATGTAGCCACGAGAATCATAGGCGGCGGGGTCCTCATAGCCGGCGTAGGTTGGCTTCTCGTTGTAGGAGTTGTAGGCGGCTTGCTGCTGACCGCCACCACCGCCACCGCCACCGCCACCGCCGCCGCTACCGCCTTCATACTTGTACTTGTTATCGTCATAAGGATAATTCGGGGGATACGACGGGTAGTGAGTGGTTTTGTAATCATACTCCGAGTCGTATCTCGGGGGTGGCGCGCTCGGGGGTGGAGCAGTGGCCTCGGATGACGAGTTTACGTTGGCTACGTACGGCTTCGACGCCGGCACTCGGCGACTACTCGGTGTGTGCACCGGTATAGGTCGGTAGCACTCGTTACCGTGCTTACCCGTATCATACTGACGTGCCATCATTAATCCATCAATATTCTGCAACCAGATTACACCAGCCCTCGACAATCACATACAGACTTGATCGTAATGCTGAAGCATACATCGCATTCGCTCCGCTCAACGCTCCGTAACAACGCGGCATACATCTCAAATTATTTTTACCGTAAAATGAGGTAATTTGGCCCAGGATAACTTTGATCCAAATAAAAAAAAAATATCTAGACAGCACGAATGTCTAATCAACATTAAGATGTATTATCAAAACATCTTTAAGATATCTTATGCTAGTAGATTGTATGGTAGTATTCATAGTCGATTCTTATAGGCTTTCTACAATAAGCTGTTAATAGATCAGAAGTCAAGAGCGAGTTGTATGCGAGCCAGCAGTGTGTCATAAGGCAACAATAAGTGAGTAATCAATGACTACGTGGGGATGACCAAATTGCATTTCTTACAATTTAAAATTTAAATTACGTTATGACTAGCCAATCATATATTATTTGCCCTGAGAATTATTCCTTTGATTGATTCAAGTATTATAACGTAACGATCTAATACGATTTATTTTGGATATAGGTTTCCTAAGATTTATGACTGACTTATAATTCTGACTTACATCTAGTATGATATGAGCGATGTCTAACGGTTTATTGTAGAAAGCCATTTAGAAATTGAGCATTAATTAGTTGATTCTTATATTTAAGACTGTCTTAAGATGTCATGAACCAATCAAAGAAACGCATTTAAAAATATTACTTCAGTCTTAAAATAAAAACGGACTATGAATATCGGTCAATAGTCAGTTCTTCTCACATTCTATGATTGATCAATTTCTTATGATTTAAAACTTGGGCTTAAGTAACGGGTCATTGTACAATAGAATGTTAGACAGTTATATTTATTAAGACTAATTATATAAATATAGAGTTTTTATTATATTGTATTATTATATTATCATATACAAGACAATCATATAAGCATCTTAAGATATTACTCGTAACGTATTATATTAATATATTAGCTTAAAATAGTCTTGAAATAAGAACCAACCATAATTACCGGTCTATGTTTTAATTTTAACATATACTATCTGGGCATTATCAAAATTTGGATCGAAGTTATCTCGATTTTGAATCAAAATTATTCCATTTTACAGTATTCGAATACGTGTTGATACCCTGCCGGTAGAGCACGCGAACGTAAACGATTTCGCAGCGCAGAATCTATTCCGCGAAACGTGACACGTCATGAACTATTACACCATTCATTCGCGAGTTTTTTCATTCATGATTATGCATTCTTCCTAGAATCGCCTCGCCAAGATCTTTTCCACGTGACCTCACACGTTCTGGAGAGATTTTAGAGCGTTATTCGTATCGTAACGACGCATCGCGGATCTCGCAAAATTGGTCAGAAGCATCGTTCCCGTATCACGGTAGTTCGCGCGAAGAGATTCTCGGGTCTAAGAAATTGGTTCACGGCTGATGTCCATTTCTACCAACGTAGATTAACTTTAATCTCGGTTTAACTTGCTTTTTATCTTCTTCTAATTCTAAAAATCAGAAAGAGTAAATTAAACTAAGATGAAAATTAAATTATATTGGTAGAAATGGACATGAGACATACTCCACATACGCGATTGCGAGGTCCTGCATTTACATACTTCAACACACAAAATCATATCCGTTACAATATTTGATATATCCAGGAAGAAGATATGCGCGCTCAAAAACGTGAAAATATCGATCTTTTCCTTCAATTACGCTCTCTCAATGCGCGACACATTCCTCATAATATTCTCATTCACGCGTACTCGGGATGTTAACGCAATTTAGCGATTATTTTAAGTTTTATCAACGTAAAGATATTTCGAGATAGGTAGTATGAGAATTTTTTTTCTTATTTGAGGTGATCTAGGCTTGCGAAAGCTTCAGCCACTTTTAAGAAATCTTGAGAAAGATAACACACGACGCGTTAAGGTTGGTTAAGTTGGATACGTTTTTTTATCGAATCATTTCTCTCTCCATTGTAATGCCTCTGACACAGGACGATTAATCACTCTCTTAAAGAGATTTCATACCGTTTTAGAGACACAAACATACTATATTATTTACATGTTCACGCAAGCACACCGTTAACGACGCTCTCTCCACGGCTCACGCACCACACTCGTATAAACATACATTCGTACATACAGACATTTTGCATTCTTTCTGTATAATTCCACCACTTATAACCGTTCGCACATTCACCTATTTATACCACACAGCAAAATACGTCTCATATACATAAAAATAACATATTCAAGGAATATGAGAAGATATTCGCTTAAAGCATTATATGATAAAATGGAAATAGACAGAAAGATAAGGTATTATCCATATCCATAGTTGTAAGCTCTTATCAATTTTAGCCGATTGTCTTTTATACATTTCATCTTTTACTTGAAATACTACACGTGTGTTCATATCTGTACATATCTTAGAATATAAAAATACATAAAGATTTTTACAGCAATCGAAATGAGAAAAAATTTGCCTTATACTGGGTATCTGAGACTATCCGTATACCTTTTATCACAGAAGAGCCAGGGTTGCCACAAAAAATAAATTTTAAAATTCCCTGACTTTTCCAGGTTTTCCAGATAAAAATGGACAATTTCCATGACCAATATAAAATATGTAAAAATTTTAATATAATAAAATATATAAAAAATTTTAACATTTAGAATCAAGTATTGTAAGAAAGCTAGCTTATATTATTAAAACCGCAAAAGAAGCTTAGTAACAAAATTTTAGGGGCAAATTCAATAAAAAATAAAAAATTAGTACTGAGAAAAAATGCAGTTATGACGAAAAAGAGCGATTAAATAAAATATAAATTTTAATTATTTTTTAAAAATCCTTTAAAGCGCACGAGTTTTGAACGTATTTGACTATAAACGTTAAATATATTTAAAAAATTATAAAAATTATTTAGAATAGGAGCAGTTAACGGAATAAATTGAGTAAAGTTCAAAATTCCAGTCTCTTTCAAAAATTCCTCTGACTTTTCCCAGTTTTATGGTTTTGAGGTATACATAAGACGGTGTCATTGATTTGACCTTGAATAGGTTTGACGTTTGAAAGTCATAAAGGTTACGATTGATTTTTTCGAATGGTACATCCTATTTTTTATTGCATATTCTTGTAGCTTATCTTGAAAGCTTTCCGAAACACTATAATCAAATATTTTTTCATTAAGAACTTTTTGAATTATGAGACTTAAAAGTTACACTACTGCCGACATTAGCACGTAATGTGTCCGACCGATGATTAAAACCTCTTGAATGTTGTTCATGTCCTGAATAAGATTTATCAAAATCAAGGCCATTGGAGATTACAGATGTTTTACAAGATATTTTGTATTTTGTCAAAACATTGAAATTTTTAAATCTTATAACTCAGAAAGTTCTTAATAAAAAAATAATCGATTATAGTATTTTGGAAAGCTTTCGAGATAAGCTACAAGAAGTGTAATAAAAAATAGGGTGTATTATTTGAAAAAATCCATGTAACCTTCACGACTTTCAAACGACTGTTCAAGGTCAAACCAATGACACCACCTTATGTATACTTCGAAATCATACAACTTTTGTCTGAAACATTTTTTCTAAAATGTTCTATTTCTGAGATAAAAAAGGTATACGGGTGTCAGACACTTGATATATTAAAAAGTTGGATATTACTTTCTATTCTATCTCAAGTGTTTTTTAATTTTTTAAATTTTCTTCTTTAACAAGGCAACCACACGAAATGATAAATTCTGATTTTAATGAAACTTTGTATACATATAGATTATATAAAAAGATGAATTTAGAAAATGTCTGTTACGGTGGAAGAATGGCTTGAAGAGGTGAAATGATCTCTTATGTTGTAAGTGGTTTTCAGTTTTTTCCGATATATCTCGAAAACTATTCGAAATATGATCAAAAAATGTTTTATATAAAAGCTTTACAATAAAATTACTTCTATTCATTTACGTCAATAATATTTTTAATAAACTATTTTTTATTAAAAAAATTTTCATTTTTTAAAAATATTATTGACGTGGCTAAACAGGGGCAATTTTATTGTAAAAGTTATAAAATATTTTTTGATATGTCGAATAGCTTTTAAAAACAATGAAAAAAATTAAAACCTGCGTTACTTATAAGAAATGATTTTACTCTTCAAACCGTTTTTCCGCCGCAACAAATACTTTCTAAATTCATCTTTTTATGTAATCTATATGTATACAAAGTTTCATTAATATCAGAATGTAACATTTCGTGTGGTTCACTTATAAGATTAAAGCCTCGTGTAAATTGCCTCTACAATAGTCGCACAAGCTGTGTCGCATGTCGTATGAAATGTCGCAGAAGTGTCGCATAGGCTTGATCTACAATCAGTCGGGAGACATCGTATGTTGTGTGCATGCGCATAACTTTTATTTTTCGTGTCGGCTGTCGACGTCGGCTGCTAAGCGTCGTTTGGATTGGTCAGGTCCTATCTTTTACGATTAACATCTAATAAGCGTCAACCGACTTGATTGTATACGAGGTCATATAGTCGCATGATTGTCGTAATCGCAAGAGCTCTTGTCGTACGGAGTTGAGCCAACTTCAACTTTCTGCGACTGCGACAGGCGTGTCGCATGAGTCCAACCAATCACAGCATAGCAAGTTAACGTTCAGAGTTTGTTGTCGAATGTGCAAACAATCGTTGTATCAATCGGGGGAAATGTATGTTGTGTGCATGCGCATAACCTTCATTTTTCGGCTGTCAATGTCAGCTGGGCGTTGTTTGGATTGATCAGGTCTCATCTTTTACGACATTCGACAAGTCGACTTGATTGTCTAAAGCCTCGCAGGAAAATTTGTCGCATGTCGCAAGAGTGTCGCTAAATGAGCGTCTACAATAGTCACAACGATTGTCTACACGCAATTCGACAACAAATTCTAAACGTCTTGCTGTGATGTGATTGGTTGAGCTCATGCGACATGCTTGTCGCAGTCGCAGAAAGTTGAAGTTGGCTCAACTCCATACGACAAAGAGCTCTTGCGACTACGACAATCATGCGACTACATGCGACACTTCTGTGACATTTCATACGACATGCAACACAGCTTGTGCGACTATTGTAGACGAGGTTTTAGGCTCCTGAGTTGCGGTAGCCATATTGGAATCGTGACGTCAGAAGTAAGGAATGACACGTAAATTTATGCTGCGAGCCATTTGTAATTAAAGACAATTTGGATAAATCTAAATGACGAGATTGCTTTAAAATATCTGTAAAAATGGGCAGAAAGTGTCCTTTTTTCCCTTAATAGTCAGTAAATGGTCGTAAAAGGCAGATAAAGTGAGCCTAATTTCAGAAACACAGCAGAAACACACAGTTTAAACAGCTATTAAAATGAGTAAAATATACGCTTTTACATATAAAGTTCCAGGATAACTATAGTTTCTGCCCATTTTTAGGCCTTTCATAAGTACGAGACATATCACATTTTCACAATTAAGCAAATAATAACGAAATGGCTTGCAGCATAAATTTTGTCGTCAAAATGTCATTTTTCTACGCCTATAAGTTCAGTCATTTATCGTGATGAGGTGCTGTAATACCGTACAAGCACGAGTCCATGTACATGGCTCTACTCAGGAGTCTTAACATGGAAGAAATAATTTTAAAAACAAGCTAGCATTTATCAGTCAACAAAATAAAGATAAAATTAATGCAGTTTGCATGTTTATATGTCCAATTACATAATATAAGCAACTGCAAATTCATCAATCAATAATCAATAATCAATAATAAAAAGAATAATAAAATTAATAAAAAGAAAATAAAATAATAATAAATAAAATCGATATAATAATCATACATTTAATTAGATCAAATTTAACTTATAAGATAAAGAAGAAATAATCTTGCTAAAGTTATAAAATGTGATATTATGGTAACTAAATTATAAATTTTGCTATATAATTTTTTTTCGAAAATATGTACAGATTGAAGGCAAGCGTACTTAAAAGAGAGAGAATATATCATTTCAAAAACAATATAAAGCGTCTATTTAATAACATACAACATATATAAATCTGAATTCTTGTATCATTTAATATTTGTATACATAATATACTGTTATTTTTCAATTATTTTAAAACATTGAACGTAATATACGATTAATAATTGATTATTAACATTAATGCTGTGTTGTATCTTTTATTATTCAATGATATAAAGTAATGTCTACAATAACAGAATATATAAATTTCATTAATAAATAACTGAATAAAGATGTTAGAAAAGTGTTTAAAGAATTGCAGTATTTTACAATTTCTGGTAAAAATATGAAATTTTCTTTAGATATCTCCTATTGCTTTGGAATGATTTATTCGCTCCTAAGTATCTTAAATGTGTATTACCGATTTAACACCTTTAAGATTTCCTTATACATTCAAGAAAGCGATAAAACAGTAGCAGAAAGAATTATAGGATTTGCAAGTATACGAGTTATGTTCTTACCTTACTGTTAGGAACCTTGACATCGCACCATCTGCCATCTATCATATGACGTTGAGCAAGGCATCTCAATTGCGACTCATAACTTCCGAATCGAATAAAGCCAAATCCTTTGCTTTGACCGGATTTTGCATCTTTTTTTACCTACGGCGAAAGTGATCTTTCGTAGTCAGAGCGTACATTTTACTTATATGGATAAAATATTCTGCATTTTGTTATTTGCACTTATCAGAAGTATATTATCAATATATAATGCATTATAAACGTTTATCTAATTAAGTTTATTTATTACTGTTCATTATTACTATTATTCATTAATTTATTCCAATTTTTATCATTGTTTTAAAAATATATTTCTATTGTACTTAAAGAGTTATAATAATATGACTCTCTTATTTATCTAATAGATCAGTAGACTTAAATACATTAGTGTAACGGAACGTAAGATTTCTTCGTGTTAATTTCCATATCTAAGCGCAAACTTCAGTAAACGCGGAGACTTACCTGTGCCATCAAAACTTCACCAAACGTTTCGAAATATTCGCGCAAATTCTGTTCGGTTGTTTTCCATGGTAAACCAAGTACAATCAAGTCAGTGCAACGCAACTTCGTTTCCATCCTTTTAGTCTTAGCTGTGGAATTTTCCAAATTGTCATCAGATTTACGTTTGTTCTCTGAAAAGACATAATAGACGTTCACGTCTAACCGATTCGTGATTTATAGAAAAAAAAGTAAAAAAAGATGAAAAAAGAAAGGAAAAAAAAAGAAAAATAACTTAAAGATCTTCGAGTTACACATTAATTCTAATATTCGTCAACAACGAAGCTAATTTCAGCAGCTGATTGCAGTACTCTTATGGATCATGAGAACATTATTCCATTTAGCCGACATTCATTATAAAGTAGACAAATTAAAGTGGGTTTATTAAAGAAGACATACATATAGGAGTATCTCTAAAATAATCCAGTATCCCATCAAACATGATGGATATGATTAAAGAAATAATTACTTTAAGTAAGATATTTCAGGAGAATTTGGGCCAAATTATGATTAACTTTATTTCGTCTATAATTTAATCGGCAGAATTTCTAATTGCAATTCATTCTCCTTAATAATCTCTGATCTTTTCTTCCATACATTAGAAAAGACTCTGAATAATTCTATCCGTATTAAACATAATGAGCCTGTTTTTTTAAATTGAATTTCTTACGCGATTTATCTTTCTTCTTTTTCTCTCCACATTACAGAAAAAAAAGATAAACCGTATAGAAATCCAATTAAAAAGAACAAGTCTAATACTACAAGATTGTATTAAGTGATAATTGAATAAAGAAGTTATACATTTCGCGGGTTATTTCTATGTTTAGATTAATTGACAACTAAAACTGTTCAGTAATTTTTTAATATGATTGGTTTTTGCACTTAGATCCAGCGAAGAACTGATATTAAGGAATCACTGAGCGCTTAATAAATTAATTTCTGCTGAAAACATCCATCGGCAAAATGTCAACGTTTTATGAACAGTATAGTTCACTTCATCAGGAGGAGGAATAGCTCGAAATTAATATCCATGTGACGTATGACAAAGGCCTTTCAAGCCTATTAATTATTATATTTAAAGATTCTCATATCTTTCTTATCTGAATACAGCCAATTATTACGATAAACTTAAAAAGTTTATCATTATAACACTAATTATGACACATAAAATATCAGGCTGATTCTGTATTATATAGGCTGCTACTCACCCTTATTAAGTAAACTACAATGTTCACGAAACGTTTGCAATTTAAAGCTATGTATATAGCTTTACCTAGCGAACTAATATCGAATAACGAACACAAAAGTTTGATCGGAATCCATAGTTCGTTCTTAATCTCAAGACAATCTCAAGTAATGTCTTAATATGCTAATACGACTCTCTGATTGGTTCATGACATCTCAAGCATTAGCTTAATCTCGAATCTTGAGCAATGTTTATGGATTCAGCTTTGTATTGTTATTTGTTATATAAAAGTCGCAAAAAAGTTAATTGCTATGTGCAACAAACATCGAATCTGATTGAAGCTAGTATTTGGCGCAATGGAAAAAGAATAAACTGCTTTATGATACAAACACGAATGTCTGAACATTCGCATTCGATGTTCGTTTGCTAGATGTTACGCAACTTAACAATGGATCTATATAGACACGGAGATAATTCGCATAGTTTACAGAAAGGACCTGTGAAAGTCTCAAAACTATAACTTAAATAAAGAAAATTTGCACATATTATGCACAGAAACAATATTTTGCTAAAAAAATTCAATTTATGATTACTCAATTTATTTTCACTCTTTTAAGTAACGTTCTTAAATAAAGAACATTTTCTTGATATATATATATATATATATAAAATATATATTTTTAAAACATATTATTATAAATTTTTAAAAAACTCGAAATAAGAATTTATTTTCATTAAAAAAATATTATAGTTTATCAAAGAAGCGATTTTATATAATAAGTATAAGTACGTCGAATTTGTTTTAATTTAATAATCTTACAGTTGAAACTTACTAGGATTTAAAATATATTTTGATTAAATTTGATGCTTGTGACAACCTTATGATAATTATTATATTTGTGTACAGTATGCATTTTTCTGTGTGTAAGCAAAATCTGCTTTGACGCCAATTCTTACTTTACTGGAAAAAAAAAATACATTTTAATAAATCATTTGTTTGAAAAGTGTCAAATATTTATTAATATAAAGACATATTTATTTGATACAAAAATCATATTTGATTTAATTTATTTATTGTAAGTAAACGTTTAGTTGACACTATTCAAATAAATACTTATTAAAATTTTGAATATTCGTTTCTTATCTATATATTAATTTTTTATATATTAATTATCTATATATTAATTTTAATCTTGCTTCAACTCTTACGCTTTATTTTTTTCCAATTCTTAAAATTAATAAAAGACGAAGAGTTAGTTGGACCAAGATTAAAGTTAATTGCATTAAAGTTATTTACATTTGCAGAAACGGACTTTAGTGTTATAATCATTTAAACAAAGGTATTTGATCAAAGATGTTCCTATCGACTAACTGCTCCAGGAGTTGAAGTCGCAAATCGCCATGGCGGATACGGTCTAGGAAGAGTTTCAAGAAATTCGTGTATAGTATCCTGATTCTCTCCTGCCCGTGGCTGGGAAAGCATCATCGTTGTGATCCACTGATCCCACGAGTCCTACGACAGTCGGCTTCGAGTCGCCTCGACGCCACGAGCACAGCGCCGCCACGTTATAAATACCGCGGGGATGGGAAAGGGCAGGGGAGGAAGGTACGCGCGTGTATGTACGCGTAATTTTTGTACCTTTAGGGAATACGCAGAAGTAAATCGCCTTGCCCCAGCCATTCTCGGGCGGATGCAGACGGCCATCTACCAGTCGGACGCCGCGCATCGTACGGGACTCCGGGTTGCGGTATTTGAGGCCGCAAGTACCGGGAAACTGGGCGGATAGGGTGGTGAGCAGGAGCGTGGTATCGTCCTCGGTCGGCAGCTCGATCGGCTCCTCACCCTCGTCCTCGGCAACTTGGATATAGGACGACATCGTGTGGCTTCTGTTCGTCACAAAGCTGATCCCTTTATCAATCGAACGGCGATACTGCTGTTTTCCCCGCTGATCACCCTCGCTCTCTTCACTCACTCACTCACTTTCTCTCTCTCTTTCTCTCTCTCTCTCTTGCTCTCACTCTTCCTCGCTTCTCCCGATTACTCCGCACCCGGTTCGTTTTTCCTAGTTTTATCCGCTTATGTTCGCGTATTACTCGAAAAGGCGGAGGACGCGGAGAATCTTGTAAAACTCGTTTATGCTTAACAACACAACAAACACACACGCGCCACGATCGCTCGCACCCAGTCACGCAACACCGCACCTCTTTCTCTCCGTTCTTCTCGGTTCTCTTTGACGACACAGCGGTCGCCGCTAGCGCCACCGGAAGTTAAGCACAGCCGCGCCACAATGTCTGGAAAATTCCACTTTGGCGAGTCCGATACGATGACTCAAATTTCCAGCGAAAAATGCATGAGACGTTCTATTTTCTAATCATGCGCTCGAAAGATAAAGAATTCCTAATGATTTATCTGTCACACGCGACGAAATCGTCGGGTATGCGATATCAGATCTAGATGGTTACCGCGGATGAGCTTTGCGACGCGGTCGACGCGTAGGAATACCATCGAACACGCCGGGCGCCGCGCATAATGGCGGGCAGACCGATCGCGCGCCATCGATTTTCTGACGAACGCGACATGCCGGCTGTATATACGAGAAAGCCACCCGGCAGTGGCCGGCTCGCCGACAAAATGATGAACAATTAAATTTTTCTCGTTATCTGAATTATAGGATTGAATTAATTATTAACGATAAAGGACGAAGCAGTAATTCTGTGCTAGATTTTATGAAATGTGTTTTGTGTGACATGAACTTAAATTTTTTTTTTTTTTAACTTATTGTTATTAATGTAAGGAAAATGCAAAAAATTGATATTATTGATCTGACTTATTGTACGTGGGTGCGATTTGGAAAATTTTAAGTCAGTGACGCACGATGTATTTTTTCTGCTGAATTGTTTTAGTAAATTACTAAAATTGCACTTCATACAGAACAAAGAATTTCCAATAATTTACTAAAATGCAAGCAATCCGGTAGGAAAATTTGCATTATGTGCCGTAGACTTTATTGTCGACTACGAAGTTTATAAATTTCTATGGTATCGACTGTGAGGCTTGTAAATTTCTACAGTATCTGTACAGTGCTATCAACAATTTCTGGTTGCCCGCGTGACAGTGTTACCAACTGTACGATATAAATATGATAATTTCAATCTTTATACGATATACGATTTAAAGAGTGGAATTATACGTAAAAATACGATAATTCCGCTTTACTTATTTCAAGAAAGTTGAATTCAAATTCAAATTTTTTACTCTTTACTGTAACGAGAACTACCAAAAACGCATGTGGCTATAGAACATAAGTGTGACCTCAGTCACTGACGAAATATTATTAAAGACCGTTAACCCTGGACAAATTTTCGGCAGTATAAAAAGGGCCCCGAGGTAATTGAAAAACGTTGACATTATCGACAATTGATATAAATTTGCTATTATTAACATAAATATTTGGTTCATGCATTATTAAATTTATGATTTTTTATTATATCAGTGTTCTATAAATAAATATACTTATAAAGCTATAATATCCTATATATTGCAGAAAAATTACAATTTTTTTTCTGCAGTTATCATCTCTGTTGATAATCAAACTTTGACGATAACACTGAAATCATAATTTTAAAGAAAAATCGAGTATTATTGAGTTCTAAATACGTGTATTAGACTAATAAATCATAAAACTAATATAATATTATCAGTTTTTAACTTTTAATCATTTCAATATTCTTAAGGACGCAAACTTTCGTAAGGATATTGGTTTTAATAGTATCTCGTGCCTCAGTGCATACTCGCATCGAGACTCGCAATCGAAATCTGTTTGCCAAGTAATTAGACATGATTGGTTGAATCCATGGGTAAGAACCAATCATGTTCATTTGCTTGGAAAGTTATACACATCGCCATTGGTGGAAGAGATAGCCTATACTCCTTTCTCGCTTGGAAAAATTTGATGAAATCCTTAGGGCGCTGTCTCATGTACACGGAACGAATCGGAACGACGGAACGGATTTCTTATTAGAAATGAGTTTACTAGTATTCCGTTCTGTAAGAAGTTTCTCTATTATATCGGAACCACCGGAATCATAGCCGGAATATATAGAGACAATACGGAATCAACGGAATGTCATGTCGATTGCAGGCTATGTCGATCGCCAGCTATTGTTAATGATTGAGAATTTGACAACTTCGAAGAAGAAAATTAATAATAATTTTTATTTTTCAATACGACATACTCTTGTTTTACATACACGTAATTCAACTAATGCCAGTTCTTCAAATAATTTCGATGTCATTCTGAAATAATTGAAGAACTTCTCACGATCAGTCGTTTGCATTCTAACGATTAAATTGCGCCTTGGAGACGCCTCATTCTTTGTGTAAACATTTACTGTATTTAGAATTTTCGTTTTCTTATATATTTCTCTTGGTGCGATAGAAGAATATATTATAAGCGAAGTAAAATTTTCGCACTTTCTTAAATACCGAAATAGCACGCCAATTTGGTACATTTCTTGCTTTTCGCAATAATTTTAACATTAGTAATAACACTAATTCTTCATCCATCATTGTAGATTTACAAAAAAAGTTTCTGAATATTCGTTTCAATTTTTAGATTCAACCAACTCAGCTGAACATGCCATTCCGTTCCGTAAAAATTTTCTCTACTCGTCCCATGTAGCCGGAACGCAATGGAATTTGGATAACAAAATATATCTCACTCTTATAATTTAGTATTTTTGAATATTCAAAGTAATGTTATAGGTAAAATAATTGTACAAATTATGCATATTACTGCTACTCGCATTAAAATTACGAAATATCGATTAAATCAAGCAACGAATCATCAAGTGACGAAATTGAGGCAGTTCAGACACGTAACACTAGAGAGTATAATGGTCTGAGACCTAATGGCCTTTGCAATCTTTCCATTCACAGCCGTTCAAGTGTTTCTTTTATGATTAAAATCTACAGCATGTATCCTCTTCCACAACTTTCACGATCTTCCTAATTATCCAAATCATGTGTATAAATAAATGTACTAATAAATAATAAAATTATTTATTACGTTGTCAGTTACCTTGATCTTATTCCTGTCTCTTGAAACGCCCCGGGAAAAAATGTTTTACATATAATTATATATAATTACGTATATTTATATATAATTTTTTAAATGTATATATCATTTTATATGCTAGGCTTATGATGTGTTCCAAAATTTACTGCCAGTGCTGAAAATGTACAGTACACGTAACGTTAACTGTAGATTTTCAGTGCTGGTAGTGAATTTTGAAACACAGCCATAGTTGAAGAGCGGATTTTACAATTTTACAGAACTGTCCGGTTCGTCTGTATTTTTCCTGGAGTACTGCAGATAATAATTAATGTTAAGGTGATCCCACATTTACCTCAAATTTTAATAAAAATACACTATATCAATGTGTTTTTGCGTTAAAAATAAAGATTTAACAAGAAAAAAATGTCATGCTGCTTCGCGAACCGAAATATGTCATTAAAGTTGACGACTATTTAGATTAGGAAATCTGTCACAGCAGTGATTCATTGCTTTTAAAACACAAATTCACTGCTTTAAAAATAATATAAGAAAATAATTTATATTTTTAAAACAGATTTATTTTAAAGTAGAGAAGTTTATAAGTTATTTAAAATTAATATCTTTTTAATTTGTTTATATGGATTAAAGTTTAAAGTATTTCTTTAAAATAGATACTATAACTATAAATGCGACTTTGTCGTTGTCCAAATTTCTATAAATTTTGAAAAAAGTTATAAATGTTTTATAATGTATTATTGAATTTGTAAATTAAAAAAAATTAATAATATTACGTATCCAGTAAACGAGAATGGATTAAAATGCATTAAAATTTTTTTAATGCGTATTTTATATCCATGAAAATAGATTGAATGGATTGAAATGGATTGGATCGAGCTGACACTAGTTCAATATTCGAAAAAAAAAAAAAACATTTATATTTAAGGATTACAAATTTTATTCCTAAGACATTTATAATAATTACACCTGCAATTATATTATTTCAAATTGGTATTAAAAAAATGTACCTTAGTGGGATTCCCAGCGAACCTGGGACCTCTGGATTATGAATCTTCTATGTTAGCTACACCCCGCTACACCACTTCTTCAATTGGTAAATTGTGTTATTCATTCTCTTCAATTACAACTAACTAAACTAATAAAAAAATTATATAGATATAATAAAAATATCATTATTTAACAAATAATAAAGTATAAACAATTTACATTACTATGAGATAACACTGGGTAAGTGTCGGATAATTTAATCTCGCTTGGCCGATGTTGCGCGCCGTGATTAGCCTAATATTCGGGCTGTGTTCGACTTGATTTGTGAGTATTCACATCGATCATTCATTTTACTTCTAATCAAAAAGAAACAAAAGAACATAGCCCATTTATTTTTACGTTACAACTTTTTTGAACTCAATTAGATTAAAACAAAAAATTTTGTACTTATAATTTTGAATAATTTAAGTAGCATGTATGGTCCATTTTTTAAATAAAAACTTTTTTTATTCAATTAGATTAAAAAATTGCATTTCATTTATTATTGCATTTCAGAACATTTAATTGAACAGTATTCATGTTGCACAGAAATTGCTGATATTATTTTTTAATTTAACTGAATTAAAAAAAACTATTTTCTATTCACAATTCTGAATTGATTAGTATTTACGATGTGCACAGAAAATGCTAACATTATTTTTAGATTGAAAGGCATAGAGATATGCTCTATGCAATTTCTGTAAATGAATAAAATTCAGGATTGGAAAGGCATGGACATTTGCTTTATGCAATTCTTATACATGAATAAAAATGCATTCAGGATTTATTTTAACATTCATGAATCCGTATTTGTGAAAATCTGAATCCATTTTAATCCATTTCAATCCATTATTGTTTGCTGGGGAGGCATTCTAAATAACATAAGTTTTAGTAAATTGTAGTAATAGTATATATATATACCCCTTCCATTAATCCAGAATAATATAAATGTTAAAATGCAACAGTTTACGAGATATTTAATTGTTTACGATTTTTCATGCGTGTTATATACTTCCTTGATAAACTCGAGTAGTACGAATAGTCCAGTAGAAGTAGAATTTTAGTTAGAATTTTTTCGGAAAAAAATTGTAAACCAATATTTCTCTTCACGAAAATCTTCGAAAGATCATCAGAAAAGAAATGCGTATGTT